TTCCTAAAGCATGCTCCGAGTCACCCCACATGGTGCTCCTTCCAATCAAAAGGCTCTAATTTGGCTAGCTGATAATAATAACAGCAAAAACTAACAGATACTAATGAATACCAGGCACTGTTTTAAGAGCTTTGTATTTATTAACTCATGCGATCTTCCTACGAACGCTAAAGAGGGGTGCCATTTTACAGATGAGAGAAGAGAGGCGCAGGGAACCTAAGGCACTTGCCTGCAATCACACAGCTGGTCAGGGCAGAACCAGGATGGAACCCCATCAGAGTGACTGCCACACCCTGGAGCCCACCAGGTGCTCTCAAATGGATGGGAACACCAGTCCTTCTTTACCACTGAAGGTCTGTTATCCACTCTTGGCAGCTCCCCACACCGCTGACTCACATAAGCTTACCGTCAAGGACTTCCTGAAATCTCTTTTACACACACGAATGCTGTGTCCCAGCAACCCCGTCCTTTTCCCCAGGCAGTCGGTTTTATGGATTCTATGCCTGGCCTGGCCCAATTATCCCGCTGCCCTATTTCTGACGGCCCATAAGCTTGTCCTGGAGGTGATTTTCCCTGTGCCTTTGCTCTTGAACGAATGAGAGGAGGCCAAGACGGAGTTCAGATTACAGAATCATGGAACTCTGGGGAACAAAACCAAAGAACATGCAGGCCTCTACCTCATTTTGCAGATGAGGAAAGTGAGACCCGGAGGGCAAATGAATTCCAAGGACAAGCAGCCAGCGAGCAGGTGCAGCTGAAATTAGAATCTGGGCATCTGCTTTCCCACCCAGGGTTCCTCCAACTGCCCCGGACTGTCTCCAATCCGCGTCTCTGGGCTTACACGGAAAGATGACAAGGAGGATGTGCTCTCTCTGACAATCGACAAAACAAAAATCCTTGGGGGCTTTAAGATGACAGCGGAGAGCTGGCTGAAACAGGGGGCAGACCACTAGGATGATGAGATGGGGAAAAGGCCACCCAAGGCTCTCTGAGCTTCGAATTCACAAGTTCGCTCTTCACACACCGACGAGCTCACATCAGATGCCACACAGGGTTAGGTACAGTCAGCACGTGGCCCCCGCTATTTTCAAAAAGTCCTTAAGTCTCTTGCACTGCAGCCCTTAAAATCTTAAAAGCCATTGATTCATGCCTGATGTTCTCTTTCCATTTGGTTTCTCTTCCTTCTCCCCACACCCCACTCCCAAGCTTGTACTTGAACGTGGGAAAAGGCTCTGCAGAGTGACTGCCCTCTATTGTGGGCCAGGTGCTAAGCCAGGCAGGACGGCATGCCCAGGGGACTGAGGCTCGGCCAGCAGCCGTCCTGGAGGGGCGCATCTGCACGGGGATATGGAAGTCCTGCCTCTAGGCAAGTGTGGTCTCGCAGGGATGGTGATGAGGTCTTTTCTGATTGACTCCCCAACCCCAAGGGGAATAAACTGGGGGAGATACAGGGATGCTTCTGAATGCTCTTCTGGTTGCAACCAAAACCGCAAGCTGCGATCACAATACGTTTTCCAGAAAAATCTCACCAAGACTGAGCCCAATTTCATTATTTGAAAACGTATAGGCCAATTTGACTGAAGGTGGGTTTAAATGTATCTGGCTTATCTCTACCTCATCTGGGAAGAAAAGTCTGGCCAAGTACCTTAAAGAACAGGATGACAAGGTTTAGTTAACCTCTTACAAAAATGCGTTTTCAAGGATTTCAATACTTCCTTTAAGTGAAAAAGGTCTTTGGCGATTCATTAAAACAATATACTAAGAGCAGTTAAACCCTATTACGAAATAAAACAGCATTTCTCCAAACAACTCCCATTTCCAATTTTGCATTAATTTAAATTAAGCCCAAATCAACAAATTCAGTGAGCTAGATAATGACACAGTTTTCAGTATGGGATTCTATCTCAGACTCAGAGGTCACCTAGTCTAGAGACTTTCAAGATTTATTTTTGGTTGTTTAAAGCAGTTGAACCCTTTCTCCCAGTGAAATTTGACTGGAAATCCAAATCTATGCCACAGATAAACCAGAGCTGCTGTGGTAAGTGGGGACCATATCGTGCAGCCAGCCGCCCCTCTATTTCGCACAGGAGCTGGTCCCCAGGGCCCCAGTGAACACAGGTGAATAATTATTGATCTCATCCAAGGCTTAGCAAACTTCTGTAAATGGACTCAGAGCAAATATTGTAGACTTTGTGGGAACACATAAGGTATCTGTCATATATTCCTTTGTTTATATTTACTTACTGTGTTTTTTATAACTTTCAAAATGTAGAAACCATATTTAGCTTGCAGGCCATAGGCCCACAGGCCACTGTTTGCCAACTTTGATTTAATTTAATTTTTAACAGCCTTACTGAGGTATAATTGGCATATAATAAACTGCACATTTTTTAAACCTGCATCCATGGCCACATGTGCTTTCTAAAGGCAATATAATGGCTTCTGGCAACATCATAACAATGAATGTTTTCTCTCCCAGATGCCTGGTTTCTGAGGCACCTTGTACAGAATAACATATTCAAAAGCCTGCTTCCTCCCCCCACATGGTCATCTGTTCAAATCTTTGCCCTCCAAGGAAAAAACTGCACATATTTAAAGTGTACAATTTTATAAGTGTTGACATATGGATATAATGTGAACCCATTACCACCATCAAGATGGCAGATATACCCACCTCTCTCCCTCAACCCTCTCTAGGCAACCCACCCATCTGCTTTCCGACACCATGGATTAGTCTGCATTTTCTAGAGTTTTATATACACATACCCATATAGTAGAGACTCTTTTCTATATCTGGTGTTTCCATTCAGTGTAATTATTTTGAGGTTTGCCATGTTGTTGGGTGTATCAATAATTCACTCCTTTTTACCAATACCTTCTTCATTCACACAAGGGAGGAAAATGAGGACGGAGGTGCTGCTCCAAATCGCAAAGATGACGGCAGAGCTGGCCCAGAGCCAGGTCCCAGACTCTTCCCAGGTCCTCTCACTACTCATTTCACCAGGGGTTTTGAAAACCTCTTGACACAGGTAGAGCTCCACTCCTTTTCCTTCAAATCCCTCCTTCCCGTGTCCCTCAGACAAGAGCACAGGGCAATGCCCAAAGCAAAGCGCATTCTAAGTCGTACACTAAACTCCACATATATATCAGTGTTAAAAGAAATCAAAAGGAGATTCATCCATCCACTAGTTACCGCATGCCAACCATGTGCCAGGTACCACGCTGGGTAGAACAAAATCATAATGATTCCTGTCCTCAAATCACTTAATTTCTTAGCAATTAAGAAGAGACTGACAGAAAAAGATAAATATGATCACAAAATGATTAAAATTACATAAAAGGAAGGAAGACGATGTTGTGATACAGATGGGGAGAGGTGACATTTGGTTGAGGGCATGCATGTGGGACAAGGGGGCCCTAGGAGGCGAGGGTTGCGGGGTGCCAGGGCAGGGAACAGCCTACAGAGGCTGAGCTCCCGGAGTGGGGGAGTGGCACCTGAGGCCTTGCGTAGCCAGAGCCTGGGGAGCAGAGGGAGAGCAGTGGGTGCCGAGCACATGTGGCTTACTTACAGGGAGGCTGCTCAACCACCGACCGACCGGATATCACCTGAAACGCAACGTACTCTAAGTTTACAATGAAGCCACTGGAGGGGTTTGAGAAAAGGAGGAACACAATCCAATTTACAATGGCCTGTGCACTGTTAGATGTTTAGCAGCATCCCTGACCTCCACCCAGTAGATGCCAGGGTCCCTACCCTCGATCATGACAACCAGAATTGTCCCTAGACATTGCCAGATGTCCCCTGGGGGGTAAAACTGTCCCCAGGGGAGAACCACTGTACTAAATAAACTAAGACAGGATTCTAGCTGTTTATAGCAAAGACAGTTATCTGGAAATAAATCAGCTTCCTTGGAAATAAATCAGTTTCCCTGGAAACTGTGTTGTCCAGGCTGATGTGTTGTCCCTTCCACATAGTTAGCATTTTAGAACTGCAAAGGGGGTGGCAAGGTTTTCCCTTTTCTGAACACGGGGTCAGAAAACCAAGAACAGGGAATCCTTCACCTGCACATCATGTGTGCTCTCTCAGTGATCAGATTTCTAACTTCCTGAGTAAGGGAGACAGGGTAACAGGAGAGCACAGTTCCCGAGCATTCCAGAAAGTGATTAACTTTTATGTTTAGGAAGAGGCACGTTTTTGAAGTCCTGGAGACTGTTCCACCTTGTACAAACACGTCCTCCAAAATACTGCAAAATTTGCATACTAAGGCGGACTTTCCTTATAAAAAGACTTGCATGCCATGTCAACAGGTCAGGCCCCAATCCGGTTCCTCTTCTCTCATACCTTCCCCAGATGGGGCCTGGAAATAAATAACCCAGGAAGACCAAGGGGCCCTCCAGGGCCCAACAGTCCAGTGTTCTTGGAAAACCTGGCTCAGTCTGTGGCCAAGAATGTTGTTTCAACCAAGATGTCCCCATGTAAACTGCCTGTGGTCAACCCAGGCAGGCATCTCCCTTTCCCAAGTAGTTGAGTACTGGCCACAGTACTGACCACAGCCAAGAGGATGCAAGGGCCACTGCCCTCCCCAGGCAAAGGGAGCTGCCTCCCTTTACAAATCATTTCACAGAGGGCAGAGGAAATGAGTCACTTGGCAAAGGGTCTCCTTGTGCAATGCTTTGCTCCAGAAAGGTATCCAGCCCCTGTGAGGCCCTGGCTTCTGGAAGCAAGCAGAGGATGGGAAAGGAGCCAGAATGCATCACTTCCAAAATGCAAAGAGTGAGGGGCACTGCTGTGCAGCCACCGTACAGATGAGTGGGTACATACAGCCTTTATTAGACGCCCAAACGCCGATCAGCCCAAATCCCTGCATGTTCTTTTTTTACTTCTAAGCAGACCCTGTCAAGCCGTGGGCACTTGGCTTGATTACTCCCCGTATCAAAGTTAAATTAAATTACACAACAAGCTTCTTTTCAGAGCGAGAGGCACGCACAGACTGACTCACCTTCCAGAAGCTATCGACTTTGCCGTACACAAGGGACTGGTTCTGCCTCTTGATTTCGTTAATGTGGTGGATATCGCTGGAGTTCAGGTGCTGCTCGACCACGAACCCCAGGAAGCTGTTGTCTGGGGTGTGAGCTGGTGTGGAAAGGATGGGACAGGGCAGTTAGGATTCAATCAGCAAGAAGAAACACCAACGATTACAAATGTCACGTAAGCTGTCTCAAACACATTTAAAGGTTTTCACTTCACCCTGTTCTCTTACCTGGGAGGAGCGAGGGGTGGCCGGCTCCCACCCAGCCCCAACTCAACCTTCACGGAGAACAATCCTCTCCAGGATGGATTAACCCAAGCCCAACCCTGCTTTTTTCAGTGGAAAGTCCTTCTGTTTAAAATCCATTCAGCTGGGTTCTCCCCTCCTTCCTGTTTCCTCAGCCCAAGGCTACTGTCTCCCTCGTCCAGGTTTTACCAACTAGTGGCCAGTAGGGAGCAGGGCTGAATCCACGGTCCTCGATAGGGTCAGTGGACCCTGCTGCTCTCATCTACTCCAGCTGTGTGTTCACCATCCAGTAGGGCACAAGGGGATTTGGGGGGCAAAACCAAGCAACATCACCCCGACCCTGCACCTCCTCCAAGAATCACTCAGTAATGACAGATGTAATTCTGGGGCTGTGTACTGAACGGATGGATGGGACGAAGACAGAATAAAAGGTGAAGCTCAAGGGGAGGGGAACCCCCCCCAAAAGCCAACCACCCTAAGGAGCCGTGTCTAATCTCCAGGGTATACTACTCTGGAAGAGAACAGGCATTTTCCTTTGGATCGCTCCTTGTTTGAGTCCTGAACTTCTCTATTTTAACACTCGACCAAGGAAGAAAGCAAGCCCCATACCCTTCTCAAACACTTGTCTCTTGTGCCTATAATTTTAAAAAGGAATTTCACCAGAAAGCCACAATCAGAAAATGAGTCTCTCTCGAGGAAACACAGACCCTCCTCTGCTATCCAGTCATCTGGCCAGAGAAATCTGCTTTGCAGGAGATGACCAAGCCTGCAGAGGCCTCACAATATGAAATGAAGCAACTGCTCGGCTTGACTCTGACCTTAATAGAACGACTAAAAATAACTTAAGGGGAGAGAGACTGGCTATTCAGTAAAGTCCACACAGTGCTGCCTGTGCCCTATTCATTCACCGGTGGGTGGTCGACAGTGGACAACCGGAGGAAGCTGGTTCCTGTGTCTTGTTTTGGTTTCCTCAGGACTCTCCCCAGTGGGAAGCAGCGACAGAAGCCCTTAAAGATGCTCTAGGGATCTGAAGGCCTGGGCCCCACTCATGCACCCGCAGGAAGATGAACCAGCAAGCCGGGTGGAGAGCCATGAGCTGTGGACGTGAATGAGATGCCTAAATACTCGTGATCGCCATCCCGTCTCCCAGGCTGCTGCCTAATGGGGGTGACAGATGAGGAGATAATAGGGTTGTGTCTGCGGAGTCGTGTGTGGTCTGGCCAATCTGTTATTTCATTTCGGCGTTTTTGAACAAGTGCCCAGAGGCAATGGCAATGGCTGCAGTTGGCTGGAAAGTAAATTACTGAATAAGTTCTACTGCCAACAAGAGGCAATGGTTGCTTTCATTTTTTCCTTTTGGAGGAGATGGCAGGAAGGGGGTTTGAAGGGGTCTGGGGGAGGGGAAGAGAGTCTGCGTGCATTTGAAATGTCGATAAGGCAGCTCAAGAAATCTCTCTGTAAAACTTATGGTTCGTCATAGAAATTCTGAAATAGAATCAGACACTTTAAACTCTGAAATCGTGGTTTTATCTTCAGAAAATTTATGTGGTGACTAAAGCTCCATGCTTTAGATACTCGTTTCTGCAGTTCAGTTATCTAGTCTCTAGGTGGGCCTGTCTTAAAAAAGGAAATAATCTAGTATCTTAAAACACTTAACAGGTTAGAAAAATACATCATATACTAAGGTATGTTCAAAAATAAAATGATCATCAAGACCCCAAAAAGGAAAAAAAAACTCTTATCTGTTTATATTTTTGTGTCAAAGGTTCCCCACAGCTTGAACAATGAGAGGGAGAGGCAGTAAATAATCTACTCAAAAAACTTGTGGGGTGGGACTTCCCTGGTGGTCCAGTGGCTAAGACTCTGCACTCCCAATGCACGGGGCCTGGGTTTGATCCCTGGTGAGGGAACTAGATTCCACATGCTGCAACTAAGACCCTGTGTGGAAGGAAGGAAGGAAGGAGGGAGGGAAGGAGGGAGGGAAGGGAGGGAGGGAGGGAAGGAAGGAGGGAAGGGAGAG